CCTTATCTTGGACACACTGTATAGTGTTTTATGATTTTCGTTGCTTGTCTAATAATTTCAAGACTTTACAAAAATAAATATTACTTATACTTATGTAATTAAATGTTTCTTAAACAATTTTTTTTGTGTGCATTAATAAAGTATCTAAACCACTTATTAATCTGTTGTGAGTTGCCCTTACTAATAATAAAAAAGTATTGAGATACAAAAAAAATCGGTGACTTTTAGCAGAGAAAAATGTCCTCGTAATGTGTTTATCTACACAGCCATCAAGTTGGGCTAACCCTCCGGTAAACAGCCTGTATATTGGCTAACTTCTTCTTACCCTTTTCGATAATTGGTTCGTTACTGTTTCCGGTTCGCCTTATAAGAATAAGATTAATAAGAATAATAAAAGTCATGTATTGGGTAACAGGGCTATACAAATAGATAATGTAATGATTGATACTGAATCGTAAATTAAATACCTGGCTGTATAATAGTAATAATGATAATTTGATATATAATATATAACAAATAAAATTTCCAAAAAAACAAATATACTGGCACTGGTTTTAAAAGACCTAAGCGCCTGGACTAAACCGACATCATATAAAACCGTCATAGCTCCACATCTCTATTTTGATATTGATATTTTATAAAATAAGCACATTGGTATTCATACAGAAAATATTAAATAATTTATTAAACAAACATCTTAAAAATTGTATATTTGTTAGGGACATTGACAATTATGACACGAGGGCTAGGAACAATTTTTATTTAAAATTGTCGAACGTTAATTACAGTCAAAATAGTTTATTTCGTGAAGGTTTAAAACAATACAATGAGCTGCCAGAATATATAAAAACAGTAGAATCTTATCTCAATTTAAACAAAAATGTATAGAATATATTAAACAAACCATTATTCTGTAATATGGACTCAGTTGAAATTTGTTTAGGACATTTTTGTACTAAATTACCATTACTTATAATGTAATTGTAGTTTGCTTTTTTATTTTTAAGTTACCTGCATAATAAAACAATTGAAATCAATTTTCGAAACTAAAACATAATAAATGTTTCAAAAATTTCTTAGATGCAATGAACACGCCAAAAACTTCAATGGAACATCCAAATTTTAGATGCACAGGTTAAATAAAAACAAATAATAGTTTGTTTTATTAAAAAAGTTTAAACTTTCAACAAATAAACTTTGGGCAGCAAACGTGTTACCAAAACGGCCTTTTTCCGTGTTCTTCTTCTTGGCCAAAGTTTAAGATTGAATTTGTTAAAATTATATCAAACTTTAACAGTTTAAGCACAATATATTCCAACTTTATCAACTTTATTTATACCATATTAACTTAATTTTTTTTTAACCTAAATATTTTGAAACACTTAGTACGCTCGGTACGTCTTGCTTTGTTATATGGTTTGTTATTAGTGTCCTTTGTTTTATCATTGTGAGTTAACAGTCTTTTCAAGCAACTTTCTTACTTTTTTTGACTATATTGTTGTGTTTTTAATTGGACAAAATATATCCAGTATATGCTAACTTCTGATTGAGGCATGTAATTTTGTATGTACTGTGTTCTTTCGTCGCTGCTATTGATTTTTAGCCCTTAAACTGTGTATATAATTAATGTGCTTCGTAGAAAATGTCATTTGAATCCACTCGTTGCTGCAGTAAAGTGGTTGTGATTGCTATATATATAAGCGATTTCGGAAACTGCCATCTGAATAGTTTTCGTGGCAAATATATAAATCCGTGTAACTTTCTATCGAGAAAGGGGATCTATGTATAACGCCGCATCTCGACGAACTTATCGCGGTGAGAAAATAAAAACCACGGCGGAGCGCGCGATCCCCAACACTATCTGAATCTTAATTGCGAAAAGCACAATTCCAAAAATGACGAACCGAGAATAAGAAAACGGCGTGAGAACGTCGATCTTCGGTTGTTTGTTATCGCAGCGTGGAGGCCATACGTTAAGCCCTTATCTTTAGATTCCTCCGCCAAAGGTATGTCAGCAGGTCCGACAAAAACCGGCAAGGAACTACCGTTCAACAGACCAACGAGAGATTCCATCGGTGGAGGCTGACGTAAAACTTTTAGAAGAAAGGCCCACACAACTCGTTAATCCTCTAGGAATATGTTCTAAATACAACATATACAAATGCCTTTCCGAATCGTTCAAGCTCTATTTTGATATGATTTTAATTACTGATCATTATCCTAATACCCGAAGTTGAATCGGTTAAGTATATAAATCATTTAAAATTTAAAAGAGAGACTGAGCTTAGCTTAATATCTGAATTTAAACGTTTAAAAAAAAAGTAGGCTGGAGACTCCTAAAAATACTTTATTTTTGAATTACAGCTTAGCTATGGACTTCTCTTGATAAAGAAACAAATATCCTTGATTTACGACGGCTGTATTCCTTAAAACATCATGATTATTAAAAGCAATAAAATTAAAATAGAACCATACGGCCTCCCATACACCACTAAGTTACAAGACCAGGGCCTGGCAACTTTACTAAAAAAAGATACCAAAGGTCTTATGTATTACATACTATTAAGAATATTTAAACATCCACGTACGATTTATGTTTTATAAAACGTCTTTGATGAAAAAAAATGTTTTAATTTAGAACTATTGTTACTGTTCTCTCGATTATGGCAAAATATCTTAAGTACGAGGTGTGTTCATAAAGTAATGACTTTTAAGTTTTGTCAAAACGTATTTATTTATTTATCAAAATTGTCCCCTTGAATGTAATCCCCCCCTCAGCCAGATATAATACACTTGTACCAACTAATCCTCGAAGTACTTCTGGTAAGCACTTTTTGCTACAGCATTGAGTTCGTCCAGTGATTTTTTTCTTTATCTTCTCAATCGTTCCAAACCTCCATTTATTTATCCATGATATGGCACCAGTTATGACCTTTTCGAGCATATCAGGATCATCATTTACGTCGTTCAACAGCTTTTAAGCGGTGATCTTTCGACGGTCCTTTTGTTCAAAATTAAACAGTTCATTTTTATATCCATCTTAATTTTAAACGATCTGTATTGGGTCTGACCTTGTAAACTCTTAATCTGGACAGTTCTTGAGTTTTAGGAAAGATTTTTTGCAAATATTCAAAAATGGGTGTGTTTGATAAAGAAACTGACAAAAAAGCAAGTTAATAACATAGAAATTTGTTTTTATCTGCAGCACACCGCTAGGATCAAGTTTTGAATAATGATTTAGAACTCTCTCGCATTAAAAAGAGAACATATGCGATACAAAATCGAAGCTCCTCTTTGCAAGAATTGTAGCAAAGTTACATCAGCGGACTCAGAGGACTATAAGCGAAAACCAAATTATGCTTCTTAGTTAGATTTCGCTTAGAACCATGACGCGTCAAAGCTATATGCTGAATAAATCAATGTCCGAGACCCGTCTTCTTTATCAATAAAATGTAGACGGCTGCAAAGTGCTTCGCGGTCGGCATCCTAACCTTGACACCTGACAAAAAAGCTATGTCCAAGTAGTTTAAAAGAAAACTAGCCAACGTAATTAGCTAAAGAAACCGCATAGTGCCTTGCTTTAAATTCTCCTCTGCATACTTGAAATTATTCACAGGAGATTTCAAGTCGGGAAGAAAAGGCAAAAAGCGCAACAAAAACCACGAAACGCACAACAATAACCGAAGGCAATCTGCACGAAGTGACTTTTTTTTAAGTTCTGACCGTAATTGTTGCTCATACGGACTCTTAAACAGGTATAAGTATATTGTTACAACTCATTAATTCTTTGCGTTTAGTTAGATGGGTTATTAAACCAGTTACGGGTTTGCTGGTCATTTGTACTTCGAGCCGATTTGCATAATTCTTCGATGTGTCGTCGCGCCTAAAGCCGTTCAGGTTCATTTTAGCGTTGACCATTTGGTTAGTTGTGAACTTTTGTGCTCTAGTGTAAGAGTATAAGAGGGCAGTAGTAAAAGATATCACCATCGAGCTTATCCGATGAGAGGCATATTATTAAAAATTAGTTTCCATCACAAACTTGATTGGTGGTAGAGAGAGAAAGAGAGAAACAGAAAAAGGACATAAACACATAAATAAATAAATTTCAGAACAATTGTCTACTTACTGGAAGTTATTGGATAGTATGGGCTTCGATACTGTTAATGTATTGTAATGTATCCAGAGTAGATCTAAATTGCTTCCATATATTTGGGCAGCGTATTATAAAAATGACTTTGCTATTAAAAATCTTCTTGACAACTTTCTAAACTAAATTTAGAAAAATACGTATTGCATTTTTTCTATTAAAATGCTCTATTTAAGTTTAAACGTACCAACGACCAAGAATTACAAAAGTATGCCATACGAGAAACATGACTTAAATATCTCTTTCATATTTTTCACATTAACAAAATGTAGATAGTTTGTTGCAAGGTTATAAGGTTGCAAACTTTATATGTCTATTTTATTTTCTCCTGGAATTTCTTTTGCACTTTTTGTTATTCTCTTTTGATTTATTATATCAATAAATCACTCCATTTTTTATAATAATGAATTGTTAGTCTGACAGTTTCAACGGACTGAGTACGTTCCTGCTTCTTGTTAATATATCAGTGTCAGAGCAGTATCAACAATAACATTTCAAATTAAACATTGCAACAGGATTCATTTTGCTTGTGGTTTCTGACATCTTGGCGATAATTTTCCAAGACAGGTTCAATCTTCCACTGGGAGATCTTCAGCGTGTTTTTTGAGGACACCTCAAATTAACTCAGGAATTTTGGACATGAATGTCATGGAATAAAATCTAAAAAAAACTGTTCTACTTCACAACTTTTTGTAAATGAAAAAGTTTTGTTTTTCACGGTAAACTATAATATAATAAATTAAATTAAGAAAACCAAAAAATGCTTCAGCATTTTGGTTGCCAATTTTTTATACGTAGTGTGTTTAAAGATGATTTTAGTACAAGACGAAATGTAATTTCTTAAAAATTGCAGGGGAATAGCCAAAGCCGGAGAACCAAACAACCTCTCGCCCCTCTCACCAGGAACGCTCTACATGGACGCCTCCGTTCACGGCACACTGAGAAGGAAACAACGCAGATTGGCAAGAGAAAATGCCGGGCTCCTAGAGGCTATAGCCAAAGGCGCGAATTTGGCTATAAACGAGTGCCAGTACCAGTTCCGCAATCAACGATGGAACTGTTCCACTCGCAATTTTTTAAGAGGAAAAAATCTATTCGGGAAGATTGTGGAAAGAGGTTAGTACTTTCGTTATTATTTAAATCGCTGCCGCATTGAATTTTGTCCAAATAGAAAATATTTGTAATACTCAGTTCAAAAACGAGAGTTGATACGACTTGGTAGCTTTATATACGAGATTAGCGCCAAAATTTCCCGGCCTGATATACATGCAGCTCCAGTATCTCGATAACACTTTGTCTTCTTTTAAATAAATGTCTTAGTAGGCTGCGAAAAAAAAATTGAAGTCTTGCGTCAAATAGTTTTTTACTGACAGCATTTTAAACAAGACCTGTCCAAAAAAATGTCGCAAATAACGCAAATTGAGTATAGAGCAGTCATAAAGTTTTTGACAAAAGAAGGGTTAGCACCTAAAATTATTAAAGAAACGCTGGATGGTGTATACGGCCAAATTTCTCCTTCGTATTCTGTAGTGAAGGAAAGGGCAAAACGTTTTCCAATAGGGCAGGAGTCCCATGAAGATGATTCAAGAACTGCTCGACCAGTGGAGATCATAACGGAAGACATTTTTGCGATTGTGGAAGAGGTGGTATTGAGTGATCGACGTTTAAAGGTCAAGGAAATCTCAGAAATTACTAAGCTTTCTAATACAAGTGTTCGTCGAATCCTGGATGATTATTTCGATGTGCATAAGGTTAGTGCAAGATGGGTTCCTAAAAACCTTTCGGCAATTTAAAAACAACGCCGTGTCGAGTGTGCGCGGTCTTTTTCGAAACTCTGTGGGTCTGAACCGAAGCCTGTGATAGAAACTATTGCAACGGGAGATGAAACTATGGTTCTCTATTATGACCGTCTATCGAAAAAAGAATCAATGGAGTGGCGTCGTAAGGGTGAAGCACCTCCGAGAAAATTCAGAGTCTGCCAGTCAACGAAAAAGATGATGGCCACGACCTTTTGGGATTGTGAAGGAATTCTTTTGATAGATTTTAAAGAAAATAATACCACTGTCACATACTGACTACATACGTGTAAAACGTCAAGGAAATCTGACCAGAGGGCGCGCGTCTTTTGCACGATGATGTACCTGTCCATACTGCTGGTGTTGCACAAGCTGTCATTTTGTGAGTTCCAACAGATCATCCGGTTTTAGCTCATTTTGCAGACAAACCAAAAGAATATTTTTTGAAGGGATTGAGCTGTTAATAAAGAGATGTAATTAGTGTCTTGAAGTTAGGGGGGGATTATATTGAAAAATAATAAAAAATAGTTACTCTACTTTGTTTCTTTCATTTTCAGGCCGGGAAATTTTGGCGCTGCCCTCGTATTAACCCCGGTTAGAGGTTCTCGCACATTTGTCGCACCTACGAAAAATTGTTTATAATTGATTGATATCAGGATAATTTGCTATGCTACCTTGAAATACAGCCTACAGTAGCAATATATAAATTTTGCGTAAACTTGCGTAAATAGGATTTATGCATATTTATTTTACACATAGCAATTGTGCTACCAAATTATGTTTTCTGCATATACCATTTGATACAAATTTTAGAATGTTATTTTATCAGGTCAAGGATAACAAAAGGTCAAATTTACAAATGGTTTCACAAATTCAAATAGTTTTCCCGAATTGCTCTACAGCTTTTGAGCTTAAGAAGCTCGTTAGGAATATTTCTATTTAATAACTTGTGAATTACGAAGTCACTGTGCTCTGAAAAGTTGTTAGGTTAATTCAATTTTTAAATTTTGCTTAAATGTACTACAAATAATAATAAATAAATAACTGCAATGTAGTAGTGTCTCCATAAAAACAGCCAATTTATTGAAATATCCTTAACAGGGATCTCTGTCTCATTCAATGGAGCTTTGATACATCTGATCCATTGATCTGGTATTTTTGATTTTTAATTTTCCCTAGAAAACTTTTCGGAAATAATTGAATTGCAGCACTAGGGATGGTATAAGTCATAATTTTCGTATCAGATAAAATTTGAAATTCAGTTTTGTTAAATATTATTTTTTACCTTGTTTTTATCTTCTATAAAGATGAAGATATAATTTTCAATAACCAGTTAAAGATTTTGGGAAATAAAAAAATATTTTTCTTCTCGTTAGATAAATTTTATATCAAATTTATTATATTATTAATTTTATTATATATATATATATATATATATATATATATATATATATATATATATATATATATATATATATATATATATATATATATATATATATATATATATATATATATATATATATATATATATATATATATATATATATATATATATATATATATATATATATATATATATATATATATATATATATATGATGACACTATACTCCGGGATATCATCCGTTCGCTCGTTGAACTCCGACTGGAATCCTGCAGACATTTCGCCAAAATCTCACTTGGCATCTTTAATGCTCGCGCTCCGAAAACACTTCGAACACGGAGGGCGAGCATTGAAGATGCCAAGTGAGATTTTGGCGAAATGTCTGCAGGATTCCAGTCGGATGCAGGATTTGCAGGATTCCAGTCGGATGCAGGATTCCAGTCGGAGTTCAACGAGCGAACGGATGATATCCCGGAGTATAGTGTCATCATATATATATATATATATATATATATATATATATATATATATATATATATATATATATATATATATATATATATATATATATATATATATATATATATATATATATATATATATATATATATATATATATATATATATATGATGACACTATATTCCGGGATATCATCCGTTCGCTCGTTGAACTCCGACTGGAATCCTGCAAATCCTGCAGACGTTTCGCCAAAATCTCACTTGGCATCTTCAATGCTCGCGCTCCGAAAACACTTCGAAGTGTTTTCGGAGCGCGAGCATTGAAGATGCCAAGTGAGATTTTGGCGAAACGTCTGCAGGATTTGCAGGATTCCAGTCGGAGTTCAACGAGCGAACGGATGATATCCCGGAATATAGTGTCATCATATATATATATATATATATATATATATATATATATATATATATATATATATATATATATATATATATATATATATATATATGTATATATATATATATATATATATATATATATATATATATATATATATATATATATATATATATATATATATATATATATATATATATATATATATATATATATGATGACACTATACTCCGGGATATCATCCGTTCGCTCGTTGAACTCCGACTGGAATCCTGCATCCGACTGGAATCCTGCAAATCCTGCATCCGACTGGAATCCTGCAGACATTTCGCCAAAATCTCACTTGGCATCTTCAATGCTCGCCCTCCGTGTTCGAAGTGTTTTCGGAGCGCGAGCATTAAAGATGCCAAGTGAGATTTTGGCGAAATGTCTGCAGGATTCCAGTCGGAGTTCAACGAGCGAACGGATGATATCCCGGAGTATAGTGTCATCTTAATATATATATATATATATATATATATATATATATATATATATATATATATATATATATATATATATATATATATATATATATATATAGGTTTCGGACTACCCACTAAAACCCCCTGTTGCTCCAATCGTTACACCCGGAACCGTCGTCGACATATCTTCAGGTGCAAGCAGCAGTGTTTGTTTATCCCTGTTCCTGCCTTGCTTGTTTTTGTCTTTCAAGTTCGTTTCTCTCTTTTTCGCTTAAAATTTTTCTTACCATATCTTTCACAACCCGCCAATTTTCTGCGCTTTCCACCATCTTCGGTACAAAGGAATCTACATCTAGCGCACAGCCTATTGCGCCATATGTTTCCTCCCTTAGTTCTCTCCATTTCGAACACTCGAAAGATATTTATTAATTTATATTTATATTTATTTATATTTATTAAATTTATTTATTAATATTTATTTTATTTATATTATATATTTATTTATATTTATTAAATTTATTTATTTATATTTATTTTATTTATATTTTATATTTATTTATATTTATAATTTGTATTTATTAATTTATGTTTTCAAAATTATATAAAATTTCAAAAATATGTGTGTCATAACAAAGATTCATGTAGGTTTTTTCAACCAATTCTGGTTAAAAAAGAATTTTTGAATTTTATCAAACAGTGGTACTGGAAAGTTCGCAAACCATTAACTCCATATCTGAAAAATTAAAATATGTAATAAGTTTGATAAACGTAATTTTAGTCACTAGTTTTATTTGGAATAAGTGGAATTAGTACTTAATAAACGATAGACTGAAGACATTTATCAAGGTGTTGCATACTTTACTTTTGGTAGGACCATTTGTTCTTGGAGGTGTTTTCGGTAGGTTTTTGCCACTGATATTATTTTGTCGTCTTAGGTCACTAAGTAAATACGCATATAAGAAGGATATAGATTTAATCAAACGAACGAAAAAACATCAATTAAAATAGAAAGATGAAACTAATATGTAAATCCCACTTAGACTATGAATCTGTGTTTGTGTAATAATTTAACATTAATTAGTTAATTGCTTAATTTATTAATTTGACTTGGTTAATTTAAAAACGAAGGGAAAAGTTTCGAATTAGAAGAAGGAACAAAAAATACAGGGCATGGGTTCTAGGAACAGAGTCGACGTTTTATGCACCATGGCATATTTTGAAAAATTCAGTATCCGGTTTTGTTACCAAATTTAAAACCAATAATCAGAAATTTCGACGAATTTTGTAGTTTAATCATGATTTCTTAAACGAAATACTCTGTAAATGTCCAGACCCGGTATAACCTGTGGCCTTTATGCAAATTTCTGTTCTCCGCATTCGATGCCAATACTAACAAAATCATATAACTCAGGGGTAACGCACCTTCAACCTTTCTGAATCTCATCAGTTTGACGAAGAAGCCATTTATTTTTCGTTTTTGCATTTTATTATATTATATATGTGTTCTGGGCGCTAGATATAAAATTTTTCATTTCGATTTCTAGTGCTCCATAGGTGAATCCGTATCTTCTGATTTTGCTTTGCTCGATATTCCAATAAGGAGTTTCTGTACAGCT